ACCCCAACTGCTCCAGGGGCACCGTATAAACGGCTGACCCTGTGCTCTGACCCCAAGCTTCTCTCCCTGTCTGTGTGTCTCATGGAGAGCAAGTTGGAGTATGTGAAAAGACAAATTCCTAATACAAGAAATTGTATATGGCCAATAAAGTGATCAAAGTGTAGACTGGAGGGGCATGGAAGTGAAAAACAATGTACGATCAGGCTGGACTATTGCCATAGATGCAGTAGCCAGTTTAGCATTATGGTGGTATCATTCATTTTGTTACCATGTGCCTGCTATATTTGTCTTAGTCATAGTAATTGGTAATGTCTAGTCTTTGTCTTTTCTGTATTACTGATTTGATACAGTGACAAAACTAGTATTGTGTTTATTGGTATTGATGCACTGATCTATCACAGAGTGATGATCTTTCAGAAGAATCTTCTACAAAATGAAGCAGCACCTTGACACCAGTCAATCTAAATTGATTTAAGGTTAAACACTTTCCTCTAAAGGAATACATGAGCACAGGATTAAATATAGATGGTGAACCAGTCAGGTATTAAATTAAAAGGTAATAAAGACACTAAAGAATTTCATGTTTCATAAAAAAAGCTTAGAAACATTTTGAATTTACTTAAACAAATCACATCACAAGGCTTTGCAAATCGTTCTATTGCAAGGCACAAGCCTTTGTTTCTTTACTAGTTTCAAATTGTAGTGTTTCACAAGTTATAATCTGACTAGATAGTTTTATTTTTTGGACTTTGGAGCACCACATATAGGATTTTTTGTTGCCACTAGATAAAATGAAATACAAATTATAAGCATAGTTTATGCAAATTATAACACAATTCAATAGTTGTCTTCCTATTTACTGTAGACATGTCTAGCAATTATGTTTTTAAAAACTGTGGGCTTCATTTTAAGGTAAACTAAAATATTGCACAGTATAGAAGATAGTTCTTTGTTAATTAATTACCATCCATAGTCAATCCTTTTGCAAGATGAATTACTCCTCAATGAGAGAATCGAACATGGCTCAACACAGGCTGGAGGTGCTGGTGAATTAAAGCTAACAACAATCAACGCCCATATTTCTATGTTGCTAAGCAACAGTCTACCAAGTGAGCACGGTATTGGTCATTCTCCTGCAGTGTCTATTCTGTTGTACATTGAGTTTGTAGATTTTGTATTTTAAATGCAATCAGGTACAAAGTGTTGAGTTCAATTGTGATAAAGTATTGAAGCTAATGTTGAAAATCATCTTCACAAAACAAAAATGTTTGGATGAGTATGTGAAGTTAGAATCCCAAATAAATAATGGCTATAGTGTGTAAATGAACTGACCTGATAAGAAATAATAAAAACTTCTTCTAATACTTTTCCTACAACATCATTGCATTTCTATAAAGATCAGAATGTTGGAATTTGATAACAGATTAAAAACATAAAAAGCAAAATGAACTGGGAGTTTTTTATTTCAATAGTGAAACAAAATTGCATTAAAAGTATCCAGACAAAAAACATCCTAATATTGAAAATGTTACAAGCAATATTATTTATTTTGAATAAAAATGAGTAGTTTTTAATTTATTCTATTAACCTATGAACTGCAACTATTTATTCACCTAATGCAAACTGCTCTCCATGCTGTGACACTTTTACTGACAAATTTGTAAAAATGTATTTCAGAAACACATCCACAAATCTCAGGGATGGGATAAATTGTGTTTATTCTACAAAATCAAGCAGTGATGATGTGATAACAGTCTGACAGACTAGTGCATGAGATGGCTGCCAATCGGCCACTAGAGGACGCCAAAGGACACTCTGATTTGTAAATAGATACACCGGGTGCAGATTAGTAAATTGGATCATTTGTGGTAAATTTCACATTCTTTCATGTGGTTAATTAAGGGAAAGTTGTGTGTAATAAGTCATGGTGTAAATTTCACGTTTATTAACCCCTTATCCCAGCATAAGTGACTAAAATCTTATTTTTCTGACACCACCATGCAAGTGATTTGACATATATTAGCAGAGCAAGCACACAGATTAGAGTGGTGTTGTGGTGCAGTGAGTGAGGAGATCAGCTTCCCTTTAGGCCATAAGATGGCACTATGGGCACAGACTGGCAGCTATCCAGTTCCTGTTTCAATCAGACATTTCTCATCACACAGTAACGGAGTAACGGATTGCATAAATAAGATGTGAGCTCTAACACACCTAGAGATTTTCTAGAGATACAACATAATCTTTTTTACCAGCTTCTTACTTCTGGGAAGGTTCTCAAAAGCATAGGGTGAAAAAATGAACTGCATCCTGTATGACACACCTATCCATCGCAGGGTATGTAGACCCACACAATTTAGAGACACAAATTAACCTTGTCATTGGAAGGTGAGAGGAAACTGGAGAAATTGCAGAAAGCCAACATGAGCTATACAGTAATTAACTCAAGACCCAAGAGCTGTGAAGCAGCATTGCTAAATGCCATACAGTACCTCCATGCCCACACCTCTTAAAATATCACATTAAAAAACAGGCTAATGAGTGTTGCATAAGAAATTAATGGTAAAAACATATGGTTTGCTTCTTATGCGTCATATTCAGCATATATTTCTGTAATCTCAACACAAGAAGCCATGCATCTAATTTTCAGATAGTGCATTGTTCAAATGACTGATGAAGCTGATTTAAGAGATGTAAAAATCCTTAAGACACACCAGTCCTCTAGAACTGGACTTGGACAATCCTAATACAAAAAATGTATTAATAGTAACCGCAAAAATAGTATTCTTGAATCTACTTCCAACAATGATTACAAAAATATGTATGGGGTCTCTGGGGTGTAGTTCAAGGCCTGTTTAATTGCATTATAATGTCAGTAATAAAAGATCTCAAAGAATTTGGTACAGTACAATGCTATAGAGCAGTTGGCAAGATTTTTGCTTTTATTCTTTGGGTGAAATTCACAAAGTAAACATCTATCCTTTTCTCCATTTTTCTAACAGTACAGGAAGAAACCTGGAGAAAACCCATGTGAACATACAAACTCCACACAGATAGCACCCCATGTCTGGAATGTAACCCAGGGCCCCAGCACTGTGAGGCAACAATGCTAACAACTGTGCCACAATGCCACCCCCGAAGGGAACCAAAAATCATCAAAAAATTTAACACTTTTAGATAAGGTGTCTAGTTCACGGATTTGGAGTTTGCGGCCAATATGTCAAAAGAGTACAAAATGAGACAACTTACTGTGCTTCTATGTAACTCATCACATATTGAATATTCATTTGCCTGTTGGCTTTACAAATAGAGCCTGGATGCTTTATCCTAATATACTGTATAACCCATCAATTATTTGCAACTTTAAGCAACAAATGAGCTTCACTGTCTCTTAATGGCAGTTTCATTTGGTTTTCATTGTGGGTGAGACAAATTAACACGTATCTCACCTGAATCATAAAATAATCTCATGTATCAAAAATGTCATCTGCTATTCCCAAAACACAACCAAATGTCTTAAATGGGAAGAAAAGCACAATGTAAAAAAAACTGAAAGAAATGCAAGCCGTTTGGCTGCAAAGAATCAATAGGAATGACCTTGAAGGTACAGGATGAAAGTGCCAATGTGCTAATATTGGCAAGAACATAGCACTCAGCTCCTAAAAATAGTTTTTGCTCTGGCAGTGAGCCTTATCCGAGATCATAGTACTATAATAGCATCGTAGCTTGGAAGTTGTTTGAAATCCCCAAATATCCTATTTTAAAGGCAACCATATAATAAAATCACACTATGGCATTTCTGCTATTTGCTGGATGGACAGAAGGCTAAATACATTAATGGATTTGGTAAACAAACTTTAATGACACACTAATAAGATTAAACCAATTTATGTGTATTTAAATATTTTTGTTATAAAAGAATAATTGCTAACTGGTACAGTGTTTTTTAAAGATCTCACTGAAATGCTTACAACTGCTAATACATTGTTATACTACATTATTTGTGATTTGTAAAATTTCTGGTACTGTATGTACTTCCAGTTGCTTTTATGAGGAGGACTGTATGTCATTTCCATAACCCACTGAGTACAGCACCAGCTAAATGGAATGGCAAACTGGCATTGCAAAGAACGGAAGAAAAGCAAAAATACTAGAGATTTGTTTTTAAAATCTTATACAGACGAAAAGATTTTAAAATTTGACCTATACTGTGGTGTCTTTCTGGTCAGTTTTTTTAACTCAAGCCATAAGCCACAGTATACTGCATATAGAGTAGTATAGAATAATTCCTTTTATTGCAGTTAAAATTTTAGCCATACAATTTGTTATTTCAAACTTACAAAATCCTTTTTGATAGACTAACAACAGCACACAACATCTCACCTGTTTATTATTGTCGCTGCAAAGTTTCTTGATTGAAACAAAATGTCTAATTTTCCTGAAAGGGGGAAAAAAAACTTAAGTGATTCTTAGCAAACAGAAAAAAATACAGATCATACAACTTTAGAGAAAGCAAGGAGAAAAAATACATCTGTTAAGTGGTTCAAGCTGATTTTAATTCTATTTCTATTTTAGCATTGTGTTTCTAAATTTGTATCAAGGTATGGAAAGGCACTCACAAGCGCTTTGAATATAATCAAAGAATGTAATAAATATGGTAAACAATTTAGTTGCTCAAATATCAGCAGAGACTAATTAAATAGAAAATAACAAACAGCAAAGACAAAAAAAACTATTACATAATTCTGATTTTTTGAAGGGGTTATATGTTTTGCCTAAGACTTTATCTCGTGCAAAATTCACTGAAGCCCTTAGAAAGAACAGCTGTGAACTTCAGCAGAGTGGCTTATTATTAATAACCAATAGTAGCCAGCTAAATGACAAAACCATGAGAATGCCAATTACAGTATTTAAATGTAACACAACTTTCCGCATGCCACTGAATCCTACCCAGGGAAGTACAGTACAAGCACATAGAAATACTCAGATACAGTATATGACTTCACAATCTATGCTGACTCATCTCCAAGTTTACAACCACAACCACTGTTATGATCTTAAAATCAAGAACAGATGGGCTCGGTATACTTTCACAACACTTTGAAGAAACGAATGAGGCAAACCCTAGCATTAATATTAAACGAATATATTATACCCAGCCAATATGTCATGGCTGACTGAGAACCAGGTGGATGCCTCACATTGGTGGTGGTGGAGGGGAGTCCCTATTACCTGTAAAGTGCTTTGAGTGGAGTATCCAGAAAAGCAATTATTATTATTATTATTATTATTATTATTATGAATTAACCAACCTGGCTTGCCAGTATAATCCTTGTACTTTAAGGGGAGAATGAAGGACTCTGCATGAGCTTTTCCAACATGACAGCTTGTCAGTGCCCCTTGTTAGCAGCCATGCTGCAAGCTCTGCAGTGCCTCAGTAGACACTCAGCACTAATTGAATAAGTGGTACTCTCATACTGAGAAAAACTGTTAGAAACCTCGCAGATATTGTTGTTAAGTGCAAAACCACAGAAATCCAACTAAAGCCCATTCAATGGCATGACTCATCCACTTGTACACCCTTGTTTCACTAACTTTGGCCACTAATGACACAGCCCAGCTGTTAACCAGTTATAGGGCTTACAGGGGCTCATCTTACCCATTAAATGAGTATCTTTATCAGTTTGAGCCATTGAAGACCTGAAGACCCTGGATTAATTATTTTTAGGGAACAATGAGATGTTATTCAATCTTTCTAGCTGTTAAATTCTAGAAATTCACCAGGGTCAATTAATTTACTGTTCTTCCATTGTGACTGAATAGCAACTAATATTTCCTGGAAATTACACATGGTTGCCATCAAAGTTTTCTCGTTGGACAAAAACAGAATTAAATTGCTCGAGCACCTCAATGTAAAGGAAGCAGGGAGAACTCATTGCTTACCCTCCCTGACCAATGACTGGCGTTATTTTTACGTGCTGCTGTATGCTGTCTCCAGTCTTCCTCCTGGCGTAGTAAATACCCTGCCATTCCTAAAGCAAGACAGGGAATCACTGACAGAGTGCACAATTTGGCTTCAATGCCATTGCCCAGAAATTACAAAGCAAACAACAATTCTATATGAGACCTGACATTTCATTTTAATTAGAACTTGGCTGCACCCACAAAAATGTTTAAATGTTAAAATCTCCAAGATATTTCTCTTGTAGAAGAAAAAACTCCAATGTTCATTAGGACAGCCTTATAGTTGCAGACAGAGTTCTGTACTATAGACTTGAAAGATGGATTCAAGTCCCTAATGGGATGTTACTGATGCATTCTTGAGTATGGTACTTCACTAAGAGTATCCTCGTGTGTAAATTGGTAACTTCTCTGATTATTGTTGTAGACAGGAATTTTTCTTCCACTGACTTAAAGTAACCAGTAAAATGACGATCTTTCTAATTCTTATAGAGACCAGATCTAATTCACTCACCTTTCCTTTCTTGATACACGTATTGATGGTGTCCAAAAGATCAGCTCGGTTTTTGTCACTTTTTGGCAATTCAGTCAGTTCTTTGCCTATGAGCTCTCCCTTATGGTACCCCATCATCTTCTCAAAGGCTGGATTCACATACTTGGAAAAAGATGCAATATAAATAAAAATATTGCACTCTTGCAGAAAAGTCCTGACTAAAGCTTTAATAACTAACAATGTAATTAATAACTGACAAAGAAACCCTTTGTCTTTTAGACATGAATGTAGAGGAAAACTGCGTGTATGTAAACTAACCTGTGAAAGGACAATGTAATTGAATCACAAAAACAGAGCAAAGCATTTTTCAGACAAAATAAGTTTAAATTCACTAGGTTTGTATAAATTAGAATTAAGTGTTTAAAAAACACAATAGATTATATATACAGTCAAATGGTATTTACAAATGTTTGTAAATTGGTATTAAAAAAGAAAATTCATTTTTAACATTAAATATGTTTATCAAATGAGATCAGAACAATATTAAAGCAAACTAAACCAAATCTCAAATATCATTCCATTGTGTGCCATGTGGGTGACACCCATCACAGGGTGAAGCAGGGTTTTTCAGGGCAGGCCCTACATACAGTATAGATAATTAGTTTTATTAGGGACCAATTCATCTAGCATACTGGCACAGAAACAGCCCAAAAGGAACATGTGAACACAATTGGTATGTAATTGTGGTCTGGGTCACCTGCTTGATTATTTCTCACTATTTATTTTTGTGGTGTTTGACTGGGTTTATGCTATGTCATTTAGATTTGGCACTGGAGAGTTATAGGTGGTTGCTGTCAGGTGGATTGGACTTGTAAGATAACCAGTTAGACAGTGATGACTTACATATATTTACCTATAACAGGAGCCCTGTGAGGGTGGAGATCTGTTGCAGGGAGCTATTCAATAAGATTAAAGGGACTCCGAGAGATCTGGGCCAACCAGTGCCAAATCAGCATAGAGCTCAGGACTCTTCCAAGAGTATTTCCAAGTACATCAAAACTATTTTTGCTCAAAGCTGACTTGGAGTTACAAATACTGGAACATTTTGATTATTTGGTACAATAATTTCTGAAATGTATATTTTTTAGGTTTAAAAAAGAGCTTCTGTACCTTTAAGAGAGTATTCTGTAATGTGTGCACTGTTCACCATCCTTTCATCCTACCTGTATGACATGGTCTTCACTGGTTATTTCTACTGCCTCTTGACAGTGCTCCAATGCAGTGAAGACTGAATTACAGGCTCTACAGGGTACAGCAGCAGAAATAAATATTCACGTCTGATGTCATTCACTATCAACCAAAAAAGATTTACTGCAAAATGCTGGCTGCAATCAATGAGAAACAATTTGAATTTAAACAGGCAAAGGTTCATTCCATGCTGAAAGCTATGGAGTGAACGTTTACCTGTTCCTTTGCTGCCCACGCATTTTGATGCAGCTCCATACCGGACTTAAATTTAACCATATGACTGTTGCCAACTAAGCGTATATACATCCATCCATTTTCTAATTTTATCCAATACAGGGTTCTGAGGGAACTGGAGTCCATCCCGGCTATATGGGTGCAAGGTAGGGCACACCCTGGACGGGATGCCAGTCCATCGCAGGGCACACACAGACACACACACTCACAACAGGGTCAATTTTCCTGTAAGCCAAATAACGTACCAGTATGTCTTTAGACTTTAAGAGGAAACCAGTGCACCAGGCGAAAACCCACATGAACACAAGGAGAACTTACAAACTCTACGCAAATAGCACCCCAGGAATTGAACCCAGGGTCCCAGTACTGTGAGGAAGCAATGCTAGCCACTGCCCCACTGTGCTGTCCGGCATATATACAGTATTTGGGAAAAACTAGACTTCTTAATCTACATTAAACTCTTTTCCAGCATGTACTGTATTACCGTTCTCAAGGGGAAATACTTTGACACCTTCTATATTTCAAACTTATCCAGATGGCATTTTTGAAACCACGGTTACCATTTTGGAAGATTTTTCCATTTTTCTATTTCCATTTTTAATTGGGGAGCAAAAAGAGAGGCTTTGGTTATGATCAAGTGGCCTGGTCAAAGCCAGCAGAGCAGGTTCCTGCCACACTCCAGCTGTGCGGGTTCCTCTCAGTGCTGGCAGTGACAGCTGCACCTCTGTTTACGGACACTGCTCCGTTACCCTGAGCTGGCGGAACGCTGCTGAACCATTCCTTAGTGTTGCAAGGAACGTGTCGGCAGCGAACTGTTTCCTTATGTGCTTATAGAGGATTAACATCTGCAGATGATTCAGAAATTCTTTTTAAACAGCCCGATAACTCTGTTTACATCGGGATACTTAGACAAAGAGAAGGCAGGATCTAAAAATCAAACTGTGTGGGAAAGGTGGAGACAGTTCTGAAACAAGTTCAAGAAATAGAACGTGGATATCTTCTTTAAAAGTTTTATATTCTCTCATAGATATTTGTTAGTACGCTACCAAAATGTAATTGCATTACTTACTATATAAGATTTTAATATGTCAGACACAAGTGTAGCCCATGCAATAACGTCAAATTTAAAATGCTCACTTTGAAGCATGCAGAAAATTATCTGAACTGTAATTATAATATACAGAATGCATTTGATCTGTTTGCTTAATATGAGTAATCTGTGTGCTACGCACAGAAAATATGTCACATTTACAGTTATTCCATAACAGCAAGGCTAAAAACAACCACTTCAAAGAAAAAGCTCTCTGAATCTTCCTGGAATGGCTAGTGGTCCAACATGTATGAGCCAAATTAATTAAGTATATTTTTTTTTTTCCTTTGAAAAATGCATTAAAGCTTAAGTCTGAGTAATAGAAGCAGTGGTGAATTTAAACTATTTAAAAAAATATTATCACACAAAACCATTATTGCAGAAAAAATCACACTTCTTGTTTTGTTCTTTTCACAGGCAGCTTTCAGTCCACTAAAACAAGAACAGATCCAGTGTGTGACTGAGTCATTTCAACAAATGTTTGCCTTTTAAATGCAGACACCTCCTAGAACCTCTTTGTACACATCATAGCCTTTCGACGGCTGCCACATCAATATTAGGATCTACAGTACATAAAATAATTGTAATTTTTATAATCCTCCCTTTTCCTTTTCAAATACAGTATCTTTTTCAAGCACTCTAAATATTATATGACATTTGCCATGGAATTAGGGCCTTGTTACTTACAATTTAATAACAAAATCTTTTTTTTTTTTTCATTTTGGATGTGCATAGAAGCCTCCATTTTTTCACTAAGTCTAAAAAACAGAGAAATGGTTCTAAACACAAAAAGGGAAAACGAGAAGTCGTGGGACAGGTCTATCACATGTAGTGTTATGAGTAGTTAAAGACTAATTAAATAATTACCCTCACAATGGGTGGAGTTACTGTTTTAGGTGCCCATGACTATCATTAGGCAGGCAGGGCATTGATTCCTCATTGGAAAGGTAGGTGTTCTTCTTATTGGGGGTGAGGAACAAGCTGCCTAGTCATTTTGTTGAATCCGACACCCAGCATTCTAAGAAAGGGCTGGATGAAATCCTCATATTAGCTACTACTCATTACTCTTCATTACTTTTCTTATGTTCCTAAGGATGCAGGTTTCTAAGGGAAAATAAGGAAAGAAGGAAAAGCACCAGGATGTAAGAAAGGGACATACCTTAGCTTGAAAAGAGACCGCACCTCTCCGTGTTCTATCTGGATGAGCTCATTGTAGCACGCTGTTACACTGCTATTTTCAACATATCTCTGTAAGTAAGCAAATTCAGTAAAGTCAGTAATTTGTTGCAGATGTTATTCAGTACCACTACTTCAGGAAGTCATGAACCTTAATGTGTTCATAAAAAGACATTAGTTTCAGGAAAAATCATTTTCATTCCCATGGAATATTTTAGTTCTTCAAATCTCATTCATCAGACAATGACTGATAAATAAATAAATACATTTATAAATAAATAAGTAAATAAGACCTTGGTTATATATAACTACAATTAACAAGCTGCAAAGTAACAATAAGAGCAGCAAAGAATTCATCTGCATGATCAAACAACAGAAGTTTAATGACGCACAATGTACCCTATGTTTAAGATACATACTGCAGATAAATACTGTGGTATAGCTGTATATAGTACCATTTGCTGACGTCACTACAGTGTGTATAAATTAGATTTCTTCTGGCCGTCAGATTTACAATGCAATATTGTTAGTTTTGCAAAACACTTCAGAGATCTTTCATCACAAGTCATACATATGCATTTAACCGCCATAAATAACTATCAGCAAATACATATTCAGCAGTCTGTGCTATCCTTTCTTAACCATGACATGACCACTGTTCCCAGGGAGTTATTTTGTACTATACATGACTGTGAACTTTATTAGTCACAGAGCACACATAACTCTATTTTAGTGTGACTCAGAAAATGTACATTATGGGAAGCATGAGGAAACAGTCTTTAAATCACATCAAGCAGTATTAATAGACAATTCTTATTTAACCTAATAGTTGAGATATGAAATGTCATATATTGTTTATATTTCCACCTCTCAACATAGTTCATATCCACCACAATGTATTTTTTACATAGCTAGGTAGTGGAAAGCAAAAAATGAAGCAGGCAAGCACTACACACATTATGTAATGCTAATATTAAGTCCTGTGAGTGACACAGGTCAAAGGCTTCAGTGAGTTATTGCTTCAGAGACTCTGCAAAATGCATTCAAACTACATCCTGAATGAAAAGGCCTTGGCTGGCTGCAGTTTGAGATGGGATAGGTAGATTGAGTGATGCCGCAGAAATATCTGGCAATAAAAATTGTGGCGGATCCACAATTCTTTAGTAATGACCATTGCACAAAGGAACACAGCCCCTCTATTTCAGCTTGCATTCATGTTGCATGCATGTCCAATCTGTGATGCTTATGTTGATCCATTTATGGTTCAGTAGACCTCGTATTGCAGGCACGGATGAGTTTCTCCACAGAGCTTGGACTGATCAGTAAGGTGCTTGCCCTGTGCCTAACAAAAGCAATCCATCAGCAAGAGTGATCTTCTTGATGTGTTCAATAGTTGTATCATTCACTAATGTACTTGCTCTACCAAACTTTGGAGCATCATCAAAGCTACTTTATTTCTCTTTAAGCCTCTTAATACACTTGACTGGGCTATATGCTCATCCCGTTACATTCAACTGGCTTTCCTGAATGTTCACAGTGTTAAACGCCCCCTTTGCAAGGAAATGTAATCACTGTTCAAACCACTTTCCATGAATACCATTTGGACTAGGATGTCAACTGAAAAAAAAATACAATTTCTCATTTGCTGGTCAGAAACAACCTGCAAAAACAAATTTATTTTGATACAACAGTTTCCAAATACCCACCAGAAATACCAGAAAAAGAAATCAAAAACTTAATATGCTGATAATGCAAGTGTTTATCACATCTGCTATAGTAAACCAAATTTAGTAAATGAGAACAAAATAACTGACATGTAATACAATGAGGTAAATGTCTTCTGTAGGAAATAATAGACAGAAGAAATCAGCTTGTGTCTGTAATGTCCCTTAGTCCTTACATAGACAGACAGTGAATTTCAAGGAAATATTCAACCATAAAGACCAGGGAATCTACTAAATATCTGGGATAAATAATAAGAAAAAATATGTTGAAGTTTGTGCAAATTATGTTGAAGTAATTGTGTAAATATAACAATAATTGCTTACACTTATATAGCACTTTTCTAGACACTCCACTCAAAGCTCTTTACAGGTAATGGGGTCTCCCCTCCACCACCACCAATGTGCAGCATCCACCTGGATGATGCGACGGCAGCCATAGTGCCCCAGAACGCTCACCACTCATCAGCTATCAGTGGGGAGGAGAGCAGAGTAATGTAGCCAATTCATAGATGAGGATTATTAGGAGGCCATGATTGGTAATGGCCAATGGGAAATTTGTCCAGGACGCCAGGGTTATACCCCTACTCTTTACAAGAAATGCCCTAAGCCATTTAATGACCACTGAGAGTCAGGACCTCAGTTTTACATCTCATCCGAAATACAGCACCTGTTTACAGTATAGTGTCCCCGTCACTACACTGGGGCATTAGGACCCACATGGACCACAGGGTGAGCGCCCCCTGCTGGCTCCACTAACAGCAGCAACCTTAGTTTTTCCCAGGAGGTACTGACCAGGCTCACACCTGCTTAGCTTCAGTGGGTTGCCAGTTGTGAGTTGCAGAGCAATATGGCTGCTGGCTGTATATAAGATATGATTTCTGATGTCTTCTGTAGACATCAGATGTGCAGCGACCCCGCAGGCCTCATCTTCCTGATCCTTATATGTCACACAACCAATTGTCTTCCTTCAATTCCTCAGGTGATGGAGGATGGCAGGTCTTTCTACACGGCTACCTTCCGCCATCTTGTCTGAACCTACTGATCTCTCCCAGTATGTATGTTTTTGTTTCATATATGGTGTACAGTGATTTAAATATCAAATATAATGTAAATATCAAATGTAATTCATTGTTAATATAATATACTGTATGATAGCTGGAACCAAGTGATAATCCTTAGCATATGCTGAATTTATGAACAACTGATTATTGAATTATAAATAACTGAAATAAAGCTTAAAATAATTACAGTAAAAAGTCATGACAAACATTTTGTGACCTTTTTACTGTTTTTTTTTTTTTTTGCAGCTCCCTCACTGTAAAAATCATTTTTTCTTTCCCTTGGTGGCCTAAACATTCCACCCATTTAAAACTCCAAAAATTTAATACAAGAACCAGCTGAAATGAAATACCCTAGTTTACCCGTTGTTCATTCACTATCTATTAACCTTGCATCCTAGGGCTCAGCTGTTCACATGCTTATGTCTTTTGAAGTACCATTTCTAGCATTTCAATTGGCTTTCAATATTTAATAGTTTTGTAACTATAGTGCAATCAACTGTTAACCTGTGGAAATTCCCTGATCCACAGGCTTTCCAGAACTGTTGCCTGCTTTATCTAAAGAATGTACCAGCACAATGTGACCTTGTATAATTCCATGTTATTGTACATAAATCTTATGATTAGCTCTGATGTTTGTTTTTTTATTCAAGGCCACTAATTTTACCAGTCCACTCTTAAGAGTGCAAGCTATTGCATCAAAATTTTTATTCTATTGCTCTCTAGGCTAACTTGTTTTCTGTGTCATACAAATAGTTATGTGAAACAGCTTTATGATTTTCTTCTGCTTCAGCCTTTTGCGAAATCCTGCACACTGGGTTTATTTCTAACATCAAAAGCAAAAAGATATATTGTCATCATCCTGTCAAGAAAACTAACAATCTCACTTCCTGTTTCCAGCTTGCAAACTCTCAAAAAACATGGAAGAGTCATTTAATAAAAAGCACAAAGAGCCTATCTGTGAAAAGAAAAGAGAAGTTGGATGATCATCTAATAAATCTGAAATGTAAACTCAACTGGGTCTCTGTGAAAATGAAAGTATTCAATTAAATGTGCTGGATTAAACAGTCTATTCTTGAATTAAGACATAGTATTATTACTGCACACAGATACATAATTTAATACATATCAAAATGTACAAATACATATGATAAAATACATGGTTTACATCAAAATCTTTGTCACCTCCATGAACCCAGTGACTGATAGCAGCTGTTTAGTTTAACAAAGGATTCGTCCCTCTACGAAAACACATCACCAAACACTGTAAAAGATTTGCACTTTGTCATTTGTGGGAGGCCTGAAGATTTGATTTAATCTATGTCCTTCAAGGTGAATTCCCACTGTGTTTTTTAGTGGTTTTTTTTCAACTTACTGAGAATATCATAAGGGGAGCTTAAAAATATGTCCTCAGAAAAGTGTTATTTTCACTGGCTCTCTAGGGGCTTAACCAACAAAATCACTTGCTTGGCTGTATGATTTCTATGATTGAAACGCCACTAGTTCAAGCCTGGTCATGCCAATATCTGACTGTGACTAAGATGGGCTAGGATTAAATTAGCCAGGGTACTAGCTTCATGACAAAAGCAACTCTTGTTATTTGCAGGCATGATGGAACATCAGCATGACAAAGAGCTGCTACAATGTGTCCTGACAAACTGTCCTGACAATGCTGTAATGCAGTTTGAATTGTGCCAATTGATGAATGGGTGATGAATAGGTCTACGGGCTAGTGTGTTGGAGCTACATTTCTTCCTCTCTCATCCTCACCTGATCAGATACAGGAATATTTGCAACAGAGACAAGCCCAAATGATAATTAGTATTAAAAACATAGAAAAAAGTGTTATGCTCAAGAACATATTTTCAACAGTTAAAAATATAAATCTGAAAGTCACTCTCAAACAGAATCCTCTTTGGAGAACAGGTTGCATACTATATCTAACAATTCCAAACTATCAAAAAGCAGTTGAGGGATTTCTTGATGGTACACACATACCCTGTTGAATCCAGCATTGAGGAGAGGTAGAACAGATGACTCTTCCTGATCTTGTTGCCTAAATGGAAAAGAGTAAAGTACACAAATGTATATACAGTATGTATATGCTTTGATTGCATTGTCCAAACAGAAAAATAGTTCTGAAAACATATTTACAGAAAATGCTTGCATATAATGTTAATATACTAACACTATTCAACATTTTTTTAACAGTTGCACTGGGAAAATGAATGGAACCCTATAGCAATAAGAATCCTGTTCCTTCAAACACTCTTCAAATGCTATCTTTGTATTCTCGTGACCTCTGTAAAAACTGTATTGGTTCTGTGGTCACAGAAAGGTGAAGATTAAGGTTGTGGGATCTGGTATGGCTTGACGTAGTGAGAGAACAAGCGCAATTCCCAAAACAGAATAAAACTGTGCAGAGTACATGCAAATTATAAATGATTCAAAAATAATAAGAACCAAATGGTGAATCTCGGTACAAATGACAGAAACATGTAAGACTTTGTTAGCTTAAATATTCCCAATGACATCCTTAGATCACTTACAGTAGATAACTGCAATCAAATGGGCCAAAAGGCCTTCTCTCATTAGTAATCTTTCTTGTGCTCTTACTGTATGTTCTTCTATTTGTAAACAAAAAAGAACGAAGGAGTAAAAGAGTATGAGCTAAGAAGCTACCATTTGAAAGTTACACCTACGTCTGTGGCACCACAGCCAAGATGACAGTGTGTTCGGCAGGCTTGGTAGCACGGACAGATCTGGAAAGAAACCAATAAGCAAAAAACATTCAAAAAAGGAGAGTGAAGTGATTTAGAGGAGACTAAAAATACAAAAAGCCTGCATTCCTAAGGACAAGAGCGAGTAATACACCTCTGTGTATTCTGCTTACATTACTGAAGTGGTTGTAAGGGACTGATGTACAGTACAATTATCTTTAGATGTGAAATTGTGCAATAGTCAGAGTTTGGATACCTACTGCACCTGTAAGTGAAATATTTTTCAAATAAAAATAACAGGGGGTGGTTCATGCCTCCATTAAACAAATATTTCATATGCACAGCAAATTAAAAAAAAGTGATCTACAATCAAAATGTATTAAAAAAACAAGTGTACTTTGAACTTTGCAGACAACACAAGTCTTCAAGTCATGTAAAGAAGAGCTCTTGATTTAAAACCTGCTTTCAATATCAAAATCTGCCATATTGAAGACAATTAACTAAGAAATAAGGAGAGTCAATCATCTAAATTTACTTTCTTTAGACAATATTTTACTGTGTAACATATTTGGCTAAAACATTTCTCTTGTGGATGAAACTTCTGTTTTTCTGCTTTTAATCAAATATAACAGTACTAAACATTTAGAGTGATACACAATAGTAAAAGCAATGAAGAAAGTACAGAGATGTGGTCATGTGTGATACAACCCATGAGTTACAGTAGCTTGTCAGAGAAGAAACTTATCAAATTTTATCATGTTAAAACATTTATAAAAAAATAGGAAAAACACACATTTTCTTTGGCAAACATTTCATAAGGCAAAATCTTTCTATCTTGTACAAAACATTATTTTTAATTGAAAAAGAACTATTCTTTTTTTATATCCTTTGTAGCTTGGCAAAGGCTCACTTACTATACTAATGATGAACAATAGATGTGTGGTCTCACAACTAGTGATGGCCCTACAATATATTTGTAAGAAAACATATATGTATTATAAGTTAAAATATAAGTAAAAAACATGACCATAAGAATCCAGTATTGTACAGTTTGCTGGTGAGAAATTTAATTAGCTGTAAAAGTATGCTAATATATAACCCCAATCTGAATTTTTTCAGGAAATATAAGCACAGCCTAGATGATAAGAAGTGAGGCTTAAGGCCTATAAACTTTGAGGAAGTGCAAATATTAAAGGCTTTCCAGTTTAGAGATTGCCAATTTAGAAAATAATTTAAAATGTGTTGTAAAACATGAGATATGAAATTAATGTAAGTGAAAATTATTATGCATTAATCTTAAATGTTATATATCACTAAGGAACATTATTGCAAATTATAAATAACAATAATAATTTAATCTATCACAGCAAATGATGACAGTTTTAAAGGGTGTGGAATACAGAAAAGATTAAGGCAAACACAATGCCAAACTTTTTATGACTTAGCTGAGTCACATTTTTCTGTGTCAAAAGGCATTATCCTGTTTGGCAATGAATCAATCAGATGTTCTGTTTGGCACTTCACAAAGGTGCGTGTAAGGTTCTATTAACTCCAACACAGCAGTAGCAGTTTTAAAGCTTAAACTAAATTTCCAGTTTAGACACCAATGGATTTTTCATGCTCAAAGTTATTGTATTCTTAGATTGCTCTTATTAGTCCTTAATGTCAATCATTACTATTCCAGGAAAGTGAACTAGTAGGAGTTGTGTAGTCATAATGTTAACATTATTGGTAAAACTGAAAAATCCTTCAACAAATCTCAAGACTGTGCTTCTTTCCAATTGTTACCTATTTCAATATACGCCTAACTCCATACCAGACAGTGGACTAGAGACAATGGGGATGGAGGTTAGTTGGGATTTTTGTTTCTGAAGAATTAGGACTGCCTTTATGAAATATTCATGTAACCAGGCACATCACCCTGATCAGAATTTTAAAAGTTTAGGAAGAAATGGTTCCGTACATGTTCATTACTTCTGTTGCTACCCTGGTAGACAGGATGTTGGCCCATTCTCAGCAATCATCTCTCCTTCCTTGGGTTATATGTTCGCTAATATTTCTCTGCAGAAACATTTGCAGTGCTACTCTGTTACATTGGCAAGGTTCTTCATGACGATCTTTAAGATAGTATTAGCCACAGATGAATGAGAAATGTTAAGATATTTCTCAGTATTTTGTTGACAATCTATCTCCAGAACAAAATCTGAGTGTTCATAACATGGCCTCAAGTTAATGCAGTCCCAAATATCTTTGGGATCTGCCTGCTGTAATGGAGTTTATAATGAAAGTTTGAGACAACAGCCAATTCAATCAGCTGTCAGTGATTTGGAATCATTCCTGATGTAATTTCCTCACCTAAAACATTATAAATACTACAATCCTATTCTCTCCCTCACATACATCTTTCTGTATGGACTGTTCTACAACTCTGCTTTTCCCTACATTTTTTGCTTTTTCACTATGCAATGGACATTCCAATTTGCTCCTCCGATGGATAGTAATTTATCTCAGCCAGGAATCTGCAGCTCTTCACATTCAGCCTGTGCCCACAAGTGTTCCATCTACTGCTGTCCAACTCAGTCATTCAATTTTCACCCTCAGCCAGCCTCATCCCCAGGGCTTTTTGCAAGATTCCATGCCTTGCTGAAGACTTCCATGACTCCCGTTGTCAACTCATCTTTTAAAAAAAAAACAGCCTCATGGCCAGCCTATTATTTCTCCTGCAATCTCATGTTGCTCAGGACAAACACAAACCCTCTGTGCCATTCGAAAATTGTGCCTTGTCCACCCCAAACTATTTTTGGCATTATCAACTAGTGTGTAGAACATCACAACCTCTCTGTTAACACAAAGTTTCATTCACTACATATATCAAAGAGAATTTTCTCTTTATCTGTCAAAGGTATACAATACACAAGTCCTGGACTTCCAGCAAACATCCACATCCCCTGATGATGTCATCGGTAACATGACATTCTAGTCCAGTGCAAAAACCTCTGAGCTGACTGTGCCTGCAGAGCCTTTGCTCATATTGTTTTTGCACATTCATTAGACTGTGCTCCAGACAACCAGGAAAATAAAGAACAAGAAAAAACGCTACTTGTTTCACATTTGCTTAACCAATTATGCTTGCATTTTTTGCCTCCATTTTATGTGCGGACTGTGCTTCTAACAACAAGTAAGGAAGAGAAAAGAAGAGAAAGAATTAAAGAGAAATATACCACTTCTTTGTTTTGTCATGAATCAGTTTAACAGTAATGCACCTATATCTGAACTTTTGTAAGCAAACTGTGGTTATTCAGCATGCGTCCGCTTCTGGTGATGATGTCACACAGTCCACAGCAACACAGTTGTTACTGCCAATCACAGGACTATCCGTTCTACCGTCTTCCCATATGTGCTTCTTCTTTCAGCATTCTTTCACATTCCATATCTGCTTTCCTTAATTCTGCGTCCTCTTGTTTTCTTCGCTATCCTGTCCTAACTGCTCATTCACCAGAACTATTCAGTTCCTGCATCAGCATTATCCACCAAAAAAATATGCTTCTTTCCCTGCGACAAGTAATTCTTTCTCAGCACAAGTACATTGCTTCAGAGTTCTTCTCAAAGTCATGCCTGACAACAAGGCAACCAGTACAAACACAATAACAACATTGTAATAATGCGCTTATACAGCAACAGCTGGAATACTAAGAAAACAATATGTCAGCAAATGGTTCCTGTACCATTAACTTCCACTTTACCTAGTCCCATGCAGGTATTGTAGCTTCAAGACTCTGCTGCTTTGGGGTCAGCACAGTGTCTTCTCAGTTACAAAATTGTGGAGGTTAAATTGTGGTGACTAAAAAAATCCATTATCCTTCCAGTATGCTTAATTCTTGGGTGGTGTTATTCCCAGTGAAATGGAGTTTATAACGAAAGCTTGGGAAAGATGACAAGAGCCAACTTAAATTAGACTCAGCTGTTATTAATTCGTAATCACACCTGATGTAATTTCCTCACCGAAGACATTATAAATACTACACGTTATCCCCATCACCCTCACATACAGTACTTCTTTCTGCATCCCACCTCCACCCCCCTGCATGGGGGTCCTAACCTATCTGTCCTATGGCTAGGTGGTCAAATTTTATCATGACTAACAATCCATAATACTTTTCTGTACGCTTAATTCTTGGGTTTTGTTATTGCTAGGGAATGGCTCTATCTGCATATCTACATTTTTATTGAGAATTATACATATAAAACTAAGTTTACATGTTATCATTAATTATAAATAAAAAATAGAGTTGGCCAGTGTGATATATATAGAGTGAGGCTATTGGAAGATACTTAGATCTTCTAGAACCTTATCGGACACTTGAAGCTCAGTATGATCTCAAAGAACCATGTTCTTGTTATGATATCTGTGTTACAATGTGAAAAACCATGTTTTGACATAGTTTGTGATAACCAAAACTGCTAGGCTTTCTGCAGATGTGAAACCCTCATATATTACAAACCTATTAAGAATTCATATTTCATTTTTATTCTGGACATTTCTAAGAAAACCCAGTGCAGGGACACTGCAATGCTTATGAAATGACAACATTATTTCAAGCTGTAAGGTACTGTAAATGCTTCCTGTATTTGTTACATATTTTTCAGGGTCTCAGGGTCTCAGTCAGAAAAGTTTAGGTGCATTCTTGCCTTTCTCAAATCAAAGGTGATAAAACACTGCACATGCTGTAGACAAGGAAGCACAACCTGCTGAGGATGGGGTTCACAGCTTTATTAAGAGTCACAAAAACCCACATTCCATGCTGCACTTTCCAGGCCCTTTGAAACAGTTGAACCAAGACAAGAGGGACAGCTTGACTTTTGCCTTGACAACTGCAGGTTTCACTTCTTTTTCTTGGGCATAGAATGTCAAAGACAGTTTATACTGCTAGTGTTATCCAGCCCTAAGACTGCTGCCTTAGGGCTAAGAGATTTGTAATTGGTTTGTGTTTCTTTGAAGAACCTGATGTATATCACAAGCTTATGAAAATATGACACTCCTGGTGGTGCCATATTTATGCATATCCTCACACTGCCACCCATAATAAATTCATACAAGAATGCATTTAGCATAGAATATCATTAACCAAGAATTTCCTTGACCTTGGTGGTCAGTGGCCACCAAGATCATGTCATAATGTGTCTTGAATTACAGTATTTCTTGATCAGAGTGTGGTGCAGATTGCACACTTACAGCAAAATATTGTACCTCCTGAAAGAAACTGCCATTTTCAAAGTCATTGTTATGAACATGGCCTTACAAACACATCCCATGATCCACAAGTACTGTAGATTTCCTACAAATACACTGTATTCTTCTTGGTATTGATTTTATAATCAAAGACTCTTTAAGATAGAGTGCTAATAATATGAAACAACATTAACTCGTGCATTGTAGCAATCTTCTCAAACGTAATAATGCTTACTATGTCAAAAGACACCTAACTAATTTATTGCATAAATCATAGCCATAATGATTGAATGAAATATTTTGCACTTTGATACAGTTTTAATTTTCAACAGCCGGGTTTTTTAATATTTCCATGAAAATAGACTGCCAACAGGTGTGAGCTTAAGCTGTTTCAAACGAGACTTTATAACCACACACTACATATGTCAGTCAGTCAAAATAAACATTTCACGTCTAAGCAAGCTTTTGTCAACATCTAATGATTAAAAAAAACAACTGTTCCATCTTAACTCACTCCAGCAAATAGTGCCTAATACTTTAAACAACAAAATGAAAAAAAAATGTGGTATAATTGAAGGGGACAACTATGTTACCTGCAGACTGCTTCGGCTTCGATATAGCGGGAGTGTCTGGAGTCGATGACGATTATTTCATGGTGTTTGTCAAGAAAGCACTCAACTGCTGATTCTGGAGTGCGTGCTATGTTGCATCTGTACCCTGCGCGGTCACAAGCCCACCAAAATCCATCACTCTGGCTGTCCTCTTTGTCAAAGACTAGAAGAACCTTAAAGATGGAAAGGAACAAAAAAGACATTTCTTGAAATGACACTGTTTCAGGAAGCACTGTTTTGCTTAGAACTAATTGTTTACATCTAATTCAGGGTTATACTGTATTAATTCATGTGTGACAGGCTTTAAAGAGAGCAGACTGTAAGACTGGTGGATAACTCACTGAGGGATAATCATAGTCTGACTCAGAATTTCCTCAAATCCTGTGTGTTAAGAAACTGCAAAGCTATGTGAGTCAAAGTGCACACATTTCTCAAAGTGAGCTTCTACAGTATTAAAAATAGAGCATGACAAACCTCACCCTTTTTACAACATCCAAGAGATTCATGGATGAAATTTAAATTTCATGTAGATTTGTTGAGAGTTAATTTCAGAACATAAAGTACAACTATAGTTGTAGATAGTAAAATAATCAGTTTAAAAATGTCTCTTACTCCCTAATTCTTTACTCAAAACCATCTGTCTTATATAAACAAAGTGTAAATATAATTTGTGTAAATTACTTAAAGTTATAAATCATGAATAACTTTATTATGGGAACCATACTACAAAGTATGGGAAGTTTTAATCCTGTAGCATTAACTTGCAAGATTGTGAAGAAATCAATTAATTTTTCCTCTTGATTTGTTTGACCTCTTTATACTGCTTTCTATCCATGCAGATCACAAAATATATATGTACTCTCTCACATATTCATGTATGTTTCCTGGTACACAGTGTTAAAATATATAATAAATATATGACATAGAGAGCTTCAAAAGACTACCATCAATATATGACATGTAAAATCATTAAGGGAAAGAGCAAAGGACTTCTTTGTTTTCGTAATCACTTCATAATAAAAAAAAAAATCATTTCTTTATGCTGCCTTTATTTTATTAGATTACAACCTAAAGAAAATGGCCTTTGATTTTAAATACAAGCTACTGCAGGACAGTCACCTACTGTAACAATCACAAACAACACACAGTACATAGAACATAGAACTACATAGAAATGCATGGTTGATGATGTGAGATACAGAAAAAATGCATTAATGTACTATTAGAATTATATATACTATATAATTATTATTGGGTGGTGCAGTGGCACAGTCCAAGGAGCCTGGATTCAATTACTGATCTGCATGGAGTTTGTATGTTCTCCTCATGTTCGCTTGGGTTTCCAATGAGCACACCAATTTGTGTCTGTGTTTCCTGCAATGGACTGGTATCTTGTCCAGGGTGTATCCTTCCTTGTGCCTGTTGTTTGCCAGGATAGGCTCCAGCTCCCCTGCAACCCTGTACTGGATTGGAGTCTCTATTTTCAAAGAAATAAGATTTCAATGTCGTGTATACTGTATATCTGTGCAAAGACGAAGATACTGTACAAAAATCAGATTTACACTAAAAATATTGTCTTGCATTCTTCAATGGTTTTCCGATCAATCTGCAGCTGTTTTGGAAGCTCTTCATATTGTGATGAAACAGGTTTTCTCTGTGTTCCAGGCTGAAAAAGAGCTTCCCTTCCAATTAGTGTGAAATCTGAAATCAATCTGAGCACTAACAAATGTGAAGCAGAAACGGATCACTCTAATGACTCCTACTTGTACCAGCAGCTCTGCTTTTCATCCGACTCTCCTGGGGGCAATGGAGGAAGATGATGTGTTCTAGCAAGGGCCAAATAACAAAACTACTGCTTCATCCAATTCAAGTTCACGGGGGAGCCGGAGTCTATCTTGGCAAGTGACAGGCGCAAGATGGGTACATCCTGGACAGGCAAAGACATACACAGACAAACACAGACTCATACAATAGCCAATTGTACCACTATGTCGTTGGGAGCAAGCCGAAGCACCTTGCAAAAACACATGAGAACTCAGGAAAAAACATACAAACTTCATGTAGATAGGACCCCAGGTCCAGAAGTGAACCCAGGGCCCCAGCACTGCAAGGCAGCAATGCTGACCACTTGATCACCGTGCCATCCTACTTGCACAAATTATTATCCATATAGTTCAATTACACCACAAGTCATAGTCTCCCATGGGCCCTGACTCGTGATAGAGACTCCTACAATATTATCTCATTACTCCCATGGAACGATAAATGTAGTAGCTTAAAAATAGACTTCTTTTAAAGTAAGTAAACTATCAACATTCAATAAAATTAAAATATTTATTTAAAGGGGAACTGCTGTTTTTGTGAATTTTACTGGATTCTACAAGAAGGGTTACATAAAACACCACTATGAAGATGGCTTACACATCAAACAGACAAACTAAAGACTTTTTGAGTGGTCTTTAGTCTAGTTATTTTTTTAACTGAAAAATTACTAAAGGACAGAAGAATTCAGCATCTATCAGAATGGAAATTCCTAAAGTAGGACTTTCGAGCGCACAAATATAATTGCATAAAATGTAGATTATAAACTTGCAGGCAGGACTACTGGCAGATCAGTGAAAAAAAGAAATAGTATCTCACCCAGATCGCTGACCTGTGGAGTTTCCAAAACAGCAATATTTTAAGAGGAAAAAAACTCTTGTGCAGTGAAAACAAATCTTTTTTTATTAGCTCACAAAGGAGAAAACTAGAAATACAGAAAAATGAAGAATGTGCTTAAAAGAATTTTCTCACAAAGCCATTACTGCTTGATCGCCAAAAGAAAACCGGTTTTTTTTAGTGTCCACCAAAAAAAGGCAAAGCTATCCTTGTGTGAAGTGTATTCTTTTCATCCTCACGGTTTTCAAACTATTTGCAAACATGATAGTATAATCACTCTTTAATAAACTATAATCAGATTAAATTACAACACAGGCCCTTACTTGAATAACTGTAAGTGATTCGGTTGTCTACTCCATTTACCAATGCAAGAAACAAGTTTCTGAAATATTCTCTCCTCTCAGAACCACCCCTACCCAAAGAGACTTCCAGGTACACCAAAGCAGCTGACAAGTGTGGTGCTATTACAGTGTATTAAAAGGACCAGTGCAGTATATCAGTGGATAAAGACAGCTAATGAGCACGTCTACATATTGTTCTCTTTTACAAGACTGACTACTTAAGGGAGGTTACATCAGCAATGAAAAATACCCCCTGAGGCTAACCATCTTGTTGTTGAACACCCACCGGTTTCTCATTTCTGTCTCCTTCCCAAGATCCACAAACTTGATACCTAAGTATGTATGCTTGATTGTGTTGGCATGTTACTGCCCCCAACTACTCAAAACTCCGCTTTCCTAGACAATTTAATGAGACCACTCATCGAGGATTTCGCATCAAGCGTGCTCTGACTGATTTCAGTTTCAGGGTCTGAATGTTTTCTGAAGATTTGACCTTACCCATAGACTGTGCATCTGTAAACATGATCATTCCTCATGACAATGGTGTTAAAGCATTTAAATATACATTTAACAAACATCTACATCTTTATCTGACTAACTGAATTGGTTCTCACCCTGAGTGTGTTTTTCTAAGAATTATTTTAATATGTGTAATCTTTTCTATCCCCAGGTCCTGGTCTATCAACCAAGATATGGACAAATAATGTTAACATCTTTGTTGATTGGACCTAAGAATACTACTTCTCCTCCTACACTGGCTTGTCGCTGACCTCTACAAGCATTTTAAATATTGTGTTTCACCTACTCTACTAATCTGCTACAGTAATGCCTACATTAGTTTACTAACTTGCATCCACCTCTCAAATTCAGTGCTAACGCATCTTCCACCACTCGACTTTTCTGGACATAAACCTTTCTATGAACTACTCAACACTTATACTGTCTGTGTATTACAAACACTGATTCACTTACAGTACAGTATATACATTACAGCTCCTTTCATCCTAAACATAAAAACTCTATCTGACTCTGACTTCATCACTTATGCAGCAACAGACCCAATTTCCAAACCCTTTTGTGGAACCTTTGTGTTTTTCAGTTTGGAAATTGTTCCTTAACTGCAATTCATAACTGTAACTGTGTAACAGTATCAGTAACACTATATAAACTGTAGTATTCGAAAATACGTAGATTTTTAGCCTGGAAGGCTGTATTAGTGTGAACATATACTGTGAAGTACGCTGTGAGGTGCTTCTCTTTGTGAAGATGCTAATGATTTTTGCCTTCTTTAATTTTCGAAAATCACAACAAAGAAAGTGTTGAGATCATCCCATCATTCTCGAACAAAGAACAAGCTACCTGGACCTAGACTCACAAAAACAATAATAAAATGAATTGCAGAATAATAAAAAAAATAGAACCCAAGGATCCTTCTTTTTATCTCACTGCAAATAGCAATAAATAATTGTTAAAGATCAATCCAAGTAACCAGATGTTTAATTCAACCTCATACAGCATCTGTTGTTCTTAATAGGTCTATCCAGGAACTAGCTTCCTTTAAACATTAGCAGACAGGAAACAAAGAAAAGCTGTCTAAAGGCAGCTGGCTAGAACCCAGTATCAACAAGTCTGTTCACTACTGTTTCAGGGTGCTAGAATCTCGCAAAGCAAAGGAAGAGGTCATTCAAGCAGACATGGCAAGACTTCAAAGAAAATGAAGCTGCAGGAAAGCATAGGGAAAAGTGGGAATATATTTAAAAAGGGCAGTGAAAACTTGACAAAACTATTACATAGGCTTTTGTAAATACAGGACATTTTCACAAAGTAAAGGTAATAATAATAATAATAATAATAATAATAATAATAGTAATAATAATAATGTTAATTTATATCTTGGCCTAAATCCTATAATCTTTATACATACCTCACAAGTCATGAATGACACAAATCTTTTTTCTCTCTGATATTGTAATGTACAAAAAAACATTGTGGAAATACTCTAGCCATTTGACATGTCCAATATGCATGTTTGGTCATATGTTATTCTATTTCAGTTATACAAACTGACACAGGACCCCACCTCTCACACCTTTCCCTCTTACTCACCAACACAACTAAAACTGTTTTCCAGCCTCATTCTGATCCATGAGAAACTGAGTCATTTTTCCAGGAAG